GTAGTTGCTCTGGGTTGCAAATGGAAATAGCATGCTGGCGGCACAGCAACAGCAGGAGGCCCCATGAGCGAAAGCGCACCTCAGGTTAAGAACGGTTTCGGGTTAAGAACGGCCCTCCGGAACGAATTAAGTTCGTAAGCCGAAGTACCACTGAATAGACCCTGAGAGATGAGGCAACATGTACAGGCACTATTTTCTCATTTTGTGTGTGAGAGAAACTTGCCTGCTCCCTCATTTCAGGGTTTTATTTTTCACTCACCCCAGGAAAATCCCTGCAGATGCCTGTGATGAAACATGCACCTCAGGCAGCAGATTCTGAGGAGTGGGGAGTGATTTCAGGACCTTGGAGGACAGAGCCGTGTGTTAGCATAGTGACTTTCGCAGACAGAGAGAAAAGAAATCCTGATAGCTCTCTACTGAGGAAACTGAACAAAGACAGTGTATAATTTCATGACAAATAAACAGAGAGCTTTTGTCTTTCTTATATTCAGGCCTTGTACATAGCGGGGAGACATTCAACTAAACATACAAAGGGAAAACTCCTGCAGAAATACACAGCCAAGCACACCATGTGCTATCTCAGCAAACATTATACCACTCTCTGCTTGCTAGGCAACACCTCGGCCACCTCCCCACTTGGTTAGCTGACTTACTTTTAACATAAATAACCAGTGAGGAGGAATTAAAGAACCTTTTAATGAGGTTGAAAGAAGACAGCGCAAAATATGGTCTGAAGCTCAACATCAAAAAAACGAAGATCATGGCCACTGGGCCCATCACCTCCTGGCAAATAGAAGGGGAAGAAATGGAGGCAGTGAGAGATTTTACTTTTTTGGGCTCCATGATCACTGCAGATGGTGACAGCAGTCACGAAATTAAAAGACGCCTGCTCCTTGGGCGATGGCAAACCTAGACAGCATCTTAAAAAGCAGAGACATCACCTTGCCAACAAAGGTCCGTATAGTTAAAGCTATGGTTTTCCCAGTAGTGATGTATGGAAGTGAGAGCTGGACCATCAAGAAGGCTGATCGCCGAAGAATTGATGCTTTGGAATTCTGGTGCTGGAGGAGACTCTTGAGAGTCCCATGGACTGCAAGAAGATCAAACGTATCCATTCTTAAGGAAATCAGCCCTGAGTGCTCACTGGAAGGACAGATCGTGAAGTTGAGGCTCCAGTACTTTGGCCACCTCATGAGAAGAGAAGACTCCCTGGAAAAGACCCTGATGTTGGGAAAGATGGAGGGCACAAGGAGAAGGGGACGACAGAGGACAAGATGGTTGGACAGTGTTCTCGAAGCTACAAACATGAGCCTGACCAAACTGCGGGAGGCGGTGGAAGACAGGAGTGCCTGGTGTGCTCTGGTCCATTGGGTCACGAAGAGTCGGACACGACTAAACAACTAACAACAAACCTTTAAGGTACAAACTGAATTATCTCTGCTGTAACCCTGTGTGTGCTATACTATGCATATCAGTGTGCAACTCCATATTGGCAGACAACAAAAAAGTAAAATGAAAGTGAACAGGTGCCGGGGGCAGCTCATGTTTAAATCACTCATAACCCACGTAAACAACCATCTAATTGACTTTCTCAAGACATAAATGCAGTTAGCGCCAATTAGGCATTGTCCTGACGAGGACAATTTCATGGAATGCTGCTTTCACCCCATTACCGTGGAAGAGGAACAAAAAGGTATGCTACACTTTTCAAAGGCCATTCAGTGATCCACAGCAGAAGTAACAGCAATTGTTTTTATTTTATTTATTTTTAATGACATTGACTTGTCACAAATACAGATTATGCTGGGACCCTTTGGGCAAATGCTAATGTTTTCTTGGCATTGTTGTGCCTTAAATAAATAAATAGCAATAATTATGCAATACAATTCCAAGAACCTTCCATTTTTGTTGACAGATAGCATTAAAGAAACAGGCATTGGTAGCAACAAAGATCCTCATCTTACATAAAAATCTATTCAGCAAATAAGGTAATGTCAATGTTGTGGGAAGTAATAATTCCACCCTGGTCTGGCCAGATCTGGATCAGTTCTGGGACCTCATTTCAAAAAGGACATTGGATACATTAACACAGCTGTTTATTCCATTCCCTGGTTTAATTTCTCTATTATATTTGAGCTTTCAAAGTTACTTCTGGAAATCTAGCAGAATCCAGTGGAAGTGCTTATTTCTGTGTTAATTGGTTCCAGAAATAATCAATTTGCAACCCCATTAACCCTGAAAATTGTAGGAGTAAAGTGACAAAATTTGGGGTGGTATAGAAGCACAAAGTTCTTTCTTGCTGTTTTCATGAATCAGGCACGTGCAAAAAACATTGGGGAGTAACAATGTCGTCCAGTAGTGCTGGTTGTTATGCCATACCACAGCCACTGGGGTGAAATAAATTTAGTGTGACTTGTTGGTATATTGGCCAAAAAAGCACAGTTCCATAATGCAACAGGTATAGCAGTGTGATAGGAATGTAAAAATGTAAAAAAACAAAACCAGGATGGAAGTGCTAGCTATATAATCAGGAAAACACAAGTGTGTGAATGCACCCAAAGAGATCCAACAAGACAGAATCACAGAAGACAGAATCAGGATTCAAGATGGCCTCAATAGAGTGCAGCACTGGACCAAAAGTAACAAAATGAATTTTGATAGGAACAAATGTAAAGTTTTACACATACACAGGAAGACCCAGCTGCATAAATATAAGACGGGGGATATTTGGCTTGAGAGTACTACATGAAAAGGATCAAGGGGTCTCAGTAGACCACAAGCTTAACATGAGTCAATAGAGTGATCCAAAAGCAAAAGGGGAAAAAGAAAGAAAGAAACACTATGCTAGGCTGCATCAACAGAAATAGTGTCCAGATCAAGGAAAGTCACAGTACCGCTCTATTCTGCCTTGGTCAGAACACATCTAGAATCCTGTGTCCAGTTCTGGGTGCCACAATTTAAGAAGGATCTTAGAAAGCTGGAATGTGTACAGAGGAGGGTGATCAAGATGATCAAGGGTCTGAAAACCAAGCTTATTAGGAGCGGTTGAAGGAGTTGGGTATATTTAGAATGGATAAGAGGAGTCTGTAGAAGAGATATGAGCTTATTCCCTGGCCTACTGCAAATTTAGTGACGTTACTGTTTCTTAATTTCCCCTGGGACATCAGAATGACTAAAACCATGGCTTGGTAACAGGAGACATTACAAAAATCAATTTTTAGAAATGTAATAAATAAATAGAAATAAATCGGAACCTGTGAACAGAACACCGCCTTCTTGGAGAAGGCTTAAAGAGTTTCCTGTCACTAAGCTGCTCTTTCATAGAAGCATGCCTTGTTAGAAGTGGAGGGTCTTATGTTTGTTTGCTGGGTTTTTTGCATAAAGATGTTACAAAGAACAGCAGCACAAGCTCTTTCATGAACCCAGACAGTTTCCAAATCGAGATATATTCATTTTTACGCACAGTAGGACGCCAGCTATTTAGACACTGCGTGAAATCATGTTTACATGCTGCTGAATTAATTTCCAAGCTGTTAATGGAGCCTGACTTGCTAAATGCTGGATTCTCAGCAAACCCTGCCTTCTTAGACAACAGGCATGTTCTTACATAAGAACATGAAAACATAAGACGAGCCTGCTGGATCAAACCAATGGCCCATCCAGTCCAGCGTCCTGTTTTCACAATTGCCAACCCCCAAGCAGGACCTGAGCACAACCACTCGGGTGGTTTCCCTCATCTGGTATTCAGAAGCATTACTGCTTCTGATGGACTAGTAAAGGTAAAGGTAAAGGTAAAGATACCCCTGCCTGTACGGGCCAGTGTTGCCAGACTCTAGGGTTGTGCGCTCATCTCACTCTATAGGCCGGGAGCCGGCGCCGTCTGAAGACACTTCCGGGTCACGTGGCCAGCGTGACGGAGCTGCAACTGGCGAGCCAGCGCAGCACATGGAACGCCGTTTACCTTCCTGCTGGTAAGTGGTCCCTATTTATCTACTTGCACCCGGAGGTGCTTTCGAACTGCTAGGTTGGCAGGCGCTGGGACCGAACGACGGGAGTGCACCCTGCCGCGGGGATTCGAACCGCCGACCATGCGATCGGCAAGTCCTAGGCGCTGAGGTTTTACCCACAGCGCCACCCGCGTCCCTCTGATGGACTAGATGCTTACATTTTGGTTTGCTAGCACACGCCATGAAATCAGGGAGGGAAACATGTGGTCTTTCACATGTTGCTAAACTCCAGCTCCTGGCAGGCCTAAGGTTGAGAATGATTGGAATTTATTTTATTTATTTAAAAGCATATATAAAGCATTTCAATCTTTTCTGAATCTCTCAAGCGATATGTGGTACAGTGGAATCTCAGTTCTCGAACGCCTCCATTGTCATACGTTTCGGTTCTCGAATGCCGAAAACTCGGAAGTAAATGCTTCCTTTTTGGAATTTTTTTTTGGAACCCAAACGTGCAACATGGCTCCCACAGAATGCAAGAAGCTCTTGCAACCAATGAGAAGCTGCGCCTCAGTTTTCGAACGTTTTGGAAGCCAAATGGGCTTCCGGAATGAATTTCTTTTGAGAACCGAAGTACCACTGTATAAAAAAAGAAATGAGCAATGGATTGTACCCAATGCCAGTTGTGCTCAGAGTAGACTCATTGAAATTACTGGCCGCGACTAATTTTGGGTCCATTAATTTCAGCGGGTCTGCTTTGAGTGGAAGCTGGTTGGCTATCAAATAAGACAAAAAATGGGGATGGGGAGTTTTCATGCACACAGCAAAAAGGCCCTCTCCATTGTCATCACCCACCAAGCCTCCTTCAGAGCAGGGGTGATGGAGAAGGGCCTCAGGAGATGATGTAAAGGTTCAGGTAGGTTCATAGTGGGAGAGGCCTTCCAGAAGATATTGAGGTCCAGGCAACAGGACCAGTGGGCAATCTTTGTAGTACCCTCTCCCCCACATTGAGGGCCCAACTTACATAGCTGCAAAAGAGGTTGACAAGTTAAGGTGACCTGGGATAGCTCCGTTGGTAGAGCATAAGACTCTTAATCTTGGGGTCATGGTTTTGAGTCCCACATTGGGGGAAAAGATTCCTGCATTGTGGGGGTTGGACTATAGATGATCTTTGGACCCCTTTCAACTCTACAATTCTGCGATTCTGTGAAAGTTAGCTACAGACAGTGCATTTTTTTCCTGGGGGTACTCAATGGAACGCAGTACCGGCACCCATTTCCCCCAAATGTTAAAAATGTGGCACTTGCTGTAGCAGCATTATGGTCAGTACCGACACTTTGTTCCCTAAAACAACAACAACAACAACAACAACAACAACAACAACAACAACAACACTGGCTACAGAAATAATTATTGATGGGAAGATGGAGAGCTTGGCTTGGCCCATTTCTTAGGAAGGTATTTTAGTCACAAGAGCAATGATGGCAAAGTGGGGGTGATCTAGGTCTGGCTTCTCTTGCTGCTGACAATTAATGGTCTTCTGCAGCAGCGTCAAGTGATGGCAAATGGATGGATAGCTTTGGTCTTTCCCTACTGTTGTTGGTAACTAATGGCCTTTTGTAGGAATTATGGTAGCTCTGTCGATTTGCATCAAGCATAGAAAAGGCCAGGTGTCATGGCCAAGCTGCCTAAAATGTCAATTTAGGATGGCTTTACACAAAACATTCACCTTAAAACTGCTACGTTAAGTAGGCCAGCTCCACACTTTGTTTAGGAGTCTGCTTCAAATTTCTTCTGAGCGGCAAATCCACTGATAACATCTTTGTAAATATCCCTGCGAGACTGTGCATCTTTAGATGACAGGTAATCAAAGCTTAGTTATGCTCGGATATTTTCTTTAAAACAGAAAAAACCCACCAAAAAAACAACACACAAAATGGTAAATAATTACTTTAAAGTACCCACTTGTGAGAATAACATTTCTCATCCATCTAATTGCCAGCAGCCAGTGTCTTTCCACCACAATAACTTTACAATGATTCATTAGCTTCTATTGGGGGATGAAATGGATCGTCTTGTTAACATTGAGACTGATTTAAATGGCTGATTTCTCTCTACACTAGAGGGTTATTTTGTACATGTCAGCTTTCCACATACACACTAATCCCCAAATAAGAATAAAGCACTTGGAAAGATGGCAAGGGAACCGTCCCATTGTTGCAGAGTGAGTGCAACTGCAACAGTGTACGATGGCATCATTGAGATCGAGAGGTTGCAAATTCACGTTGGTGCTTATCTAAGATATTTTGATTCTACCCTTCAGCCAGAAATGGCTCCCAGAGTGGCGCACAATCTAAGGGACACAGCACAAAAGGAAAAGCGAGTGGGAAGGAGGAGGTGCAGGGAACCAAACTCAGGTGCAATTTCTTTGCTACAGAGTTCTTGTGATGATCAGCTGAAAGTGGAAAGAGTTCAAGGGCAGTTACTAGCCTTTCAGTGGACTGGATGGAAAGATCCCGAAGTCTCTCCCCTCCTCTATAGTTTCATGAAATGGCTACTGCAGGTGACAACCAAGAGAGGAGAGGGAGCAGCTGGCAGTGTGGAGTGGGATGGGTCTGTGTGCCTTACCTAGTTTCCTAAAGCAGAGATTGCAGCTGGTAACTAAGAGAAAAAGGGGAGGTGTGGCAGGGAAGTCAGCGGGGTGTGGGCACAACAGCAGGAAAGCTCTGCCATCTTCTCCTTCCCCTCTCAGTTACGTGTAGCCAACTCCACATTGAGAAGCCAATTGAGCAACACCACCCCACCTCTGGAGAGGAGCCAGTTCAGCAGAGTCAATCCTCTCTCCCTCTCCTATATCCTAATGGACATACACATCAGCTCCTAAGGACTGAAAAAGGCCCCCCCCCATTCTTTTTTGAGGGGAACAGGCCCCCTCTGTGTTCAGAAGGTGTACTGTTCTACCTCCTGGCTTCTCGCAACCTCAGGACATTGTGCGACATTGTGAGTGTGACGTCAGGACATCACATGACATTGTGTCATGTCCCTCAAATCAATTTGAGAAGATTGGTAACATATTCTTTACCTGTTTCTTTCTTTCTTTCTTTCTTTCTTAAATTTCTATCCTGCTCTTTCTCCCAGAGCAGCAAATCGGGGCTCAACAGAGCAATTTAGAAAACAATCAAATATCCTCTCAGTTAAAGCATTTCAAGGTTGCCAGGAACAGTATATTTCAGCCACCCAATGCCAAGGTGAACCAGAATGTTTTAAAATCCCACCTACATGGCACATTGTCCATCCATGATACACTCCAGTGAGCAGACAAGAGCTGCATTTGTACATGGCATTAATTTCATTACTTTAACTGATGATAGGATTAGCGCTTCAGTCTTGTTTTCTAGCATTCCTTCACACTGCAAATGTCAGGAATATGGAATAAACTACAGCACAGATGCAACGAAGGGAACAGAACATGAATCCACTCTGCTCTCATTTTGTGGCCCCCTGGAATTACCTTCCAAACACATCTTATGTAATGTATGGTCCCTCTGTTCTCACACAGCCACCCACTGCGGTGTAGAAATTGCATTATGGAAATGCATAGTCTCCAGCTGCCCTAAAAATGCTAGAGCCGTCACGAAAATCCTTAAGCCACCATGGCTTCTCACTGTGTCACACTGAGTCCTGAATTCTCATCTTTGTTGAGGAACGCTAACCAGAAATGGCTCGATGTTGGGGGAAGTGGAGAGAAAAGTGGCTGGGGAAACCCAGTCTGATGGGTGGCATCTAAATAATAAAATTATTTTGTATTATTATAAGAGAGAGGTGCTGACTGTGAGTGCCTCCTCCTCCTCCTCCTCCTCCTCTGCTGCTGCTCCTGGGAAGGGGAGGGGAGGGCAAAGAGTCTTACGCCGGGTCCAAGGGAAGAAGCCAGGCTGGCTGGCTGGCCAACTGACTAGCTGGTAGAGTAGCTAAGTGGTCACTGTAACTGTATATAATAATATATGGCTGTCATTGTCAACTTCAGTGATTGGACCTAAGCATTTCTGAAATAAGCAAAGTCAGAATTTTGTCTTTATAATTCTCCCCTCCCACACACTTCTCAGGAAATATAGCATAACCTACTTTCAGTTCTGATTAAGGGGAAGAAAGTGACTATTTTTCAAAGCGGTATAATTTATTTTTCTTTTCTTTTCTTTCTTTCTTTTTAAAAAAATCTTTAGACATTGCACACGGTGAGTTAAAGAAGTTGTGACGAGTAGTGTTATCAGCAATTAACTTAAGCCGTGCAAATCCTTTTGCTAAAAGACTGAAATGAATTGTGATGCTGAGTTAATTGGGAAAGTCCACGAACAGAACTTTCAAGCTTTTTTGGAAACCTGATGTGGTTTTTTTTGTTACAGATGTGTCAGCACAAGCATTACATAGATGTACCAATCATCTCATAATAACCAGCTGCCTGGTGGAAATGTCTCATTAGCATGGGTTGTTACTGATGAACAATTCGTCGTAGCCCAATTATACTTATCCCTCACCCTTTTAAGATGTGCACTTTGGAAGATAGATTTGCCGACGCCATGCCAGTTATCCCATCATTTGCTACCATAAAAAGAGTCATCAAAGTAGATTATGCTGAATGTTACTATAAATTGTAGCACTGTTTGTTCTCTGTTTATTTGATTAAGTCTGCAATCCTAACTTCACTTGCCCACTGAATTCAATAGGATTTACTTCTGGATAGACATGAATAGGATTGTGCAGTAACCCTAAAAATGAATGCCTGAATGGGAACTGGACATTTTTTGCACCCTGAATCTACTAAGTTTCAATATAGCTCTTATTTATGTATCAACACATACCTACCTACAGTTGTACCTTGGTTCTCGAATTTAATCCATTTCAGGAGTCCGTTCGACTCCAGAAACGGCTCGAAAACCAAGGCGCGGCTTCCAATTGGCTGCAGGAGCCCAATCGGAAGCCACGTTGGACGTTTGGCTTCCAAAAAAGTTCACAAACCAGAACACTCACTTCTGGGTTTGCAACGTTCGGGAGCCGATTTTTTTGACAACTAAGGTGTTTGACTACCAAGGTACAACTGTACTTACCTGTCTATATAGTAACATAAGAGGAGCCCTGCTGGATCAAACCAAAGGCTCAATATTCAAGCCTAGCATTCTGAAACCTACAGTGGCTAACTTGATGTCTCTGTGAAGCCTACAAACAAGCAAAAGTGTTATCCCACTCAGATTCCCCAACAACCGATATTCAGAGACCTACCACACATAGCTTCACAGTAGCTATGGATCTATCAGCTTATCCACGATGAATTTTTCTAATCCATTTTTAAAGCCTTTTAACTTTGTGGCCGTCACTGCATCTTTCCTCAGTGAATTCCAGGAGTTAACTATGCACTGCATAAAGACATGCTTCCTCTTGTCTGTCCTAAATCTCCCAACTTCCTTCTTCGGCCACATCCACACCATGTATTTTAAGCCATTCAACAGCCATAACTTCCCCCAAAGAATTCTGGGAACTGTAGAGCCATACATTTAAACCACTACAACACAGTTTTAAACAGTAGTGGCTTCCCCTCAAGGAATCCTGGGAGCTGTAGTTTGTTAAGGAGCTTGAGAGTTATTAGAAGAACTCTATTCCCCTCCAAAGCTACAGTTTCCAGAATGATTTAACAACTTATCCCTCTTCACAGGGAACTCTGGCAATTAAGGAACTCCTAAGAACTCTCAACCTCCTTAACAAACCACACTTCCCAGAATTCTTTGGGGGGCGGAATGTGGCTGTTTAAGGTGGTATCATAGTGCTTTAAATATATGGTGTAGAGAACTACCGTTTTTCCAGTCCGACAAATGACAGTTCCTGGTATTTTGGGGGGATGCTATGACTGTTGAAATGAGGTAAGAGTGCCTTAAATGTATGGTGTAGATGTGACCAAAAGGACCCCAGGTTCTTGTATTATGAGAGAGGTGGGAAAATGAGCTAACTATAATAAAGATGTTGCCCTTTTACACCATTAGTGACTTGTGTCTTCATTCAGGAGGTGGTGGAGTCAAAGGTGACAGAAAATGATCTTACTGTTCCTGTTCCTGTGTTGTGACAAAGACACATAATCTCTCAT